GAGAGAGAGAGAGAGAGCTGTTTGATATGTATTAGAGAAGAATGGTTTAAGAAAGGGGGAAACTTTTTGAAGTTCGTCTTCTTTATTAAAAACCTGATATTTCCTTCCGGTCATTTGATCCCGAGATAATATGTAACGTTCTCTCTCAAAAGCGAGCTCATAAACGACGACAAAAAATGACGAACGACCTGAATAACAAATTGTTCAAAGGGGATATATTTAATAAGTAAAGCGGATCATCATCTTTCTCTCTCCCAGCTTAAGACGCGACTTTCAGGCTAATTAAAAGCTCTCATGGCTACATCCCGATTAATTGCGCGATCGCAATTACGCGCCGCATGCGACGCGCGTTTTATCCGGAAGCGGATTATATTAAAAATGCGTGTGTCGAAAAGCACCGCGAGTTGCATGTGTTAATTAATTCGCATTTGATTTAATTCGCTGTTATCGCAGATTAGATTGATTTAAGCTGCTCGGCTGAGTTCGCGTTCTGCAGTCGCACACGCGATCCGCTGTAATGTTCAAACCCAAATTGCCATCGTTCCGACTTTTCGACGCCGACTTTGTAAGCGCGTCGGTCGGCATTGTTATTTACTTATTTCACAAAACTCGCAATTATTTCGCACATATTTCTACGTTCTAATTTAAATGCAAGGTACGTAGAACACGTTTGCATCAACGGAATACAAGATTTCGAATGATGCACGACGCATCGAATACTCGCGCGAGAATATTAGTCCTGAAAAGCTTATCCTACGCTAATCGAAAGCACTCGTTAAATTCCGCAAGTTGCGAGTTACAAACAGTTTCTAACGCGCCCTCGAATCGTCATTATGTTCTCGCGAGAGAGCGATATGTTCGCGACTCATTCACATATATGTCAATCAAGTCAGCGTTGAATTTACATTAGCGTTAAACGCGCGTTAAACACGCGTCATGCGAATACGCGACTGTATCTGTGCATCACCGTTGATCGTGCAAGTATTTCTGCATCTGTTAACGATTAATTAGGCGATAAAATCCGCGCGCGAATATTACGGATCGATAGATAGATGGAAAGTTGATGGACGAATCTCTGACCGGATCTAATCGGATGAAAGAAACAACATGCTTGAACGTCACGAACAAGAAGCACTTTAAGTCTTTTTTTATTTATAATTATTCTGATTTAGGATCTTGATATCATAATAATTAATAACCACGATTATATTCATAGTATATTAATTTTTTTGTATTAACAAAGCAGAATGAATAATGCTTAAACTATATTTTTCCTTTTTTAATATTTTTGAATATTTTTAAGTATTTTACATTTTTAAATATTCATGATTTAGTTATTTTATTATATTACATTTTTCGATATCATTTTTATTTATTTTTTTTTTGCGAGAGTCTGTTTATTCGTTTCTTTTCCTCAATTTTTTCGACGGCTTAATATTCCGCCGAAAAAAGATAGACAACGTTTATTAACTCTTGCGGAATACCGCGTTCGGATTGTCAAGCTAGTTTCAAAGTGGTGAAATCATGTCTCCCATGACAAACAGCGAAACAATCGCCGCGAGTGCTTGCACGTCGCACTCAATTATGTTCTCGGGCCAATATGCGCGGACGATGCGAGGCGAGGAGATTGCTTTTGTTCCGTCTGCGCATCTCTCTTTGCGTGTGCGTGTGTCTCTCTGATACGTGTCGCATCCCACTGTGCTCTGGTGATTGTAAGGATTTCGTCGCGCCCGGTAATCACGGGACCGCTCAGTGTACGATTTGTACACTGTCGGTCCTCGATTTCTCCTCGATACTACGTACGACCGGCGAATACGAGTCGACTTTTAATTATTCAAGTGCCTCGCTGCCTCGTAAAACGCCGCAGTCGGTGGCTACGCAATCCTACGGTCGTTGCGACTGTCGTTGTCGTCGTTCTTGTTCTCGTTCTCGTTGCCGTCGTGGCGTGCCGTTAAAGCGTGTACTTCCGGGTAAATCCTCGCACGTGTTTCCGCGCATTAGCACGTATGCCATCTCCCGGTACGTGGTCCCGGGCGGTGCATTCGCACTCGAGCAGCCACCACCCGCGCAATTATCCTGGATCACTGACTATGAACCGACAATTAGCGGCGCGAGACTGAACGCGACCGCGATGTTTCCAAACTCGGCAGCCGCGAACTCGCCGCGCGGAGTATTTCTGCAAGTTGGAAGTGGGACGCTGGTGCGGTTCGGTCGAACTGACATAATCTTCACCCGCGTAATTACTTTGGATCGCTATGAACGACAACTGGAGCTACGCGAACGAGCAAACGTTACGTAACTTCGCACAATTTCACACCAAAATTCCGATACCAGTGGCATTCAGAAGACCTTAGGGAAGCGACATCTTTGATATGATTTGTTCTTTCATTACAGGAAATGCGTGCCAAATTCTAAATTACATAAATTACGTAAATGTATTTGACGTAGCTGTAGTTAAACGTCAAATTTTAAATATAAAAAAAAAATATGGAAATAAAGGGAATCTCTCACATTTCTGTCTTTTCTCATCTCGTTTAAATTTCGACGGTGCAATTATTAGAATTTCGCGTATACTCTAATTGTTTGAAAGAAATGTAGAGTGTTTCCGATGTTTGAAGTCAAGTCTTAAGTACGTTGTTACTAGTTATTACTTGTTGTTACTTGTTTCCAATTAGCATTTTAGAATTTTCCACTACTATGTGTTTCTCATTAATTTGCGATTAGTAATGCAAGACCGCGCACGTTGATTAGAGGTAGACGACTGCGAAAAAGTTCAACTTGCTTGTTCAACTTCTGGAAGATTCTTAAAGCTCCAACATCATGTGGAGCAGAGATTTCTTGCGATGCTACACATTTGGTTTTATGGAACATCTATTTCATCGGAGATTATGTTCCTTCAACGTGAACGTTGCGAGCGTTAATGGTACCATAAGTGTATCTAATTACGAGAAGGCAAGGAAACTTTATCAGTGGCGCTTGATCGTAAAGATTATGTTTCTTCAGTATTAATTTTGGCGATGCGATAAACTTTCTGGAACGCAAAAGTAAGAGGATTCAGGTTTCATTGTTGACATTCAATTACATAGATTAGTCTCGCGAGATCACGTTATCTCGAACATTCCCGCAAGAACGCGGTAAGTTTCGACGAAGTCGAGTTCTCGCTGGACGACTTAGTCGTCCGTTAACGTTCCGAGGGTTTCGGCCGAGATTGAAACGTACCTTGGCTGACCGCGATCGCCTCGATAACCAGGAGAATACCAGCGAGTACCAGCACCATGAGCCAGCGACACAGCATTTTTAACACCTCGATCGCTCGCTGCACTACCGATCCTTGCTCGTTAATCGTTAGCAGAGTACTCGCTACTGCGAACACGATGTATACTCATCGATCTTTACGTCTATCGCCGTATTCGCGCACTGTGCGATATCTTCACCGTGTCATATCCTTCGTAATGAAAACGCGGTTTGATTTTTGCCAAATTAAGAGCGATGCCTCCTCGAGATGAAACCAACACCTAAGCTTACGCCGTAAAAACCATGCACGTGTTCCGTACTTCACTATGAGCGCAATTTCTCAATTCTTGCACATGCACATTTGGACGTTCCTACGGAGAAATTCTCATTGCACCACGATTAACACCTGGAGAGAAGATTATTAATTATTAATTATTAATTTCACCATCGTGCAGCGGCACGATTTCGTTAAAAACTATCAGCTGCGAACTCGCGAGAGGTCAGAACGCGGACGCCGCAGTGTATCATCAGTAATGTATCGTCAGATAATCGCTATGCGATTATCGATCATAAATCCTCGACGGTAATCCACGGGATAACAAGGTCCAGATGCTCACAGACGACGTTTCGCGGCCGCTCGCGCGCGGCCGTGGTGCACCTGCACGCGTCCCCGATGACAGCCGCGCTCACGTGGAGCCTCCGCCTGGACGGGCGTCGCGACGCGCGAACCGCGAGTGCCCCGTCTCAGGGGCAGCATCCTCCGGCCGGGACGCACGCGTCGATCGCATTCGGTCGGCAATCAGGCTGATCCGACTTCGTCGTTTCACCGATTAACTCGCGAGGCTCTGCCGGACGATCGTCATCGTACGCGGGTCTGGATCGTCGTCGTCGTCGTCGTCGTCGTCGTCGTCGTCGTCCTCCCGCGCGACGACGTTGAACCCGCATGGACCAGCCGCCGGCGCGGATGAGGCCTGCCGCTCGGCGTCGCGGCGCGAAATGATCCTGCGGGGAACACTTTGCCCGGCGCGCTTGCGCGATGACTTTGCTGCGTTCGCCGCGGATAAAGCGCGGACCGGTTACGCGCAGACCGCTTCTCTTCTCTTCCCTCTGCCTCTCCGCTGCCTCTCTCCTCTTCGTCTATCTCTCGTCGCGCGATGCCACGGCCACCGGGGGATGACCGCTGCGAAATCGGGGGTGCACCGGAGCACACATACGCCCTGACCATACCGTTCGAGGAGTCCGTCTTGTTGTCGACCCCGACTACTCCCGACGACGTCTTCGCAAGAATTATGAGCGGCTGTCGCCGCTGACAGATCGGCGAACTTCACTCGTATTAAACGTCAGTTATTAGCGGCTCTTGCAATTCTTCTTGCGATTATGCAAATCGTCATTGTCCCAAATGCGACGATCTGATTATATAATGCAGTCGCGAAAATTGATACTTTTTTTATAGAAATAAGAAATAGACGTTGTAAGTAAATATTACAGAATAATATTTTATAATAATACACATAATTATTACAAATATATATTTTGCTAAAAAAACACTAATATTATTCATATTGAATGTATTATTCGAAATAATTCGTTACTTTTAACGGCTCTAATGAACATATTTTAATAGAGTAAAGTGGAACATTACACACATACACAATCTCTCTCTCTCTCTCT